TTCGTTTTGTTAGTTATGAAATAATTTTCACTTTAAATCGAAAATACATTTCAAACCCATTTACTTATTATTAATTATATGGTAGGAGAGCTTCTCAAACCATATTGATGCAATTTTTTCATGTTAAGTCGTTGAAATATAATAAATATCTAGATTGAACCAACGACATCCTGAAAATCCCGGTATCGTAAAAACCGAAAAAATTTGCGAGGTGCAGGATATTTAAATAGAAACGCGTTTAAAGAAAACAATCACCTTCATTACTCCTGCATTACTTATCAACTAGTTTCAAGCTAGCTTTTTGTAGGGATGTGTTTCTTTTTTTTCGTACGTGTTTACCTGTTTGTTACGTTTATTACATTATGGTTAGGGCCTTTGTGAATTAAGGTAACGATATGTATTTTCATCTAAAATTTGGTAGATATTTCTGAATTGACGGACCATATTTTCCAAAGATACATATCTCGAGTTTTATAAGAGAAATAAATTCGCAAACCAGGAGTAGTTGAAAAAAGGATAAGCAATGGCAAACTTCCAATGAAAAAGCTTCTCACTAAAACGATTCGCCGTTCAGAGGCGACGTAGAACTGCAAGTCCCTCCCCTCCCCCAAGTCGCGCCCCACAAATATGGGGAGAAGCTCGGCCAAGCACTAGAAAATGTGTAAGCGCCAATTATTTACATATTTATTTATTTTATTTATCTAAAGAAACTACATAGATCCATCTCGATAATTCGAAGACTATATTCTTATTCGACGGGAATCACCTCCCAATCAATGGCTCCGTTGCAAAATTTCGCAACTTTTAATAGCTAAAAAATATTGTATGGCAAAATGTATAGCTGGCCATCGAATAGTTAAAATGTATAACGGTTTATTGTAAAAATACTTATTACATAGTGCTTTAAGGCCATACAAAATATTACTTACTTGCTAGGTAAACTAATTTAAATCCAATTTAATTGTAAAATATGCGTGTCCCTTAATCGTTAAGATGTCATCACCCTTATTCCAGAAGCATGAATGTGCAAATTTATCAGTCAGTTTTAAGCTATTTAGTTGACTTGATTAACCTTCGGATGATCTATGTTATACTAAAATCCAGAATACCATGCGTACACGGAAACCGTATATTTTACAATTTCAATTGCATAAATGTAGAGTTAAGTCTACTAAAAAAAAAAAACTTTCAAACTTGATTTCCCAAAATTTTAACTTTTACACATTCATGTTTCTGGCATACGAGCAACGATATAATAAGTGAATATAGAAGATATACATACATATATTAAAAATATACATACACATATGCAACGACATACATTTTGTAGATTAACGTGTACTCGGTATGATTTTAAATGATAATTTCTTGATTATTTTAAACAGCTGTTGTAAAAAACATGCACGCACATGTATGTATATGTGCAGTCGTATCAGATTAAATCCCTGCAAGAACCATTTGCCGTAAACTTGAATACAAATACAAAATTTGTTTGAAAATAGGAAAAACTAAAACATAACTAACTGATACATTTCTGTGAAAATCATATCCGAAGATATCGCTTTCCTCGAATTCTTATTCGTTGTCGGAAAGAAGGGTTCCACCGAAGTGTCACGTCTTTTATGATACCAAAGCGACACTACTATAAAGAACTATGTATTTCGATCGAAATCGGAAAGTTAAATGCGTATTTTATAAAATATAAAGAAAAATTTTGGGGCTTGGAATCGCAGACACCAAATTTCGCACTTTGATCATTTCCGTTAATATTTTAAGCTAAAACTTGTATTCCAAAAAGGCATAATCATTCAACACATCTATTTAAAAGGAAAATTATTTTAACGAGACCAAGCAAAAGACTTAAGGAGTAGAAATCGCGTGGAAACATTTTCAAAAAAAAAGAAAAGCGATAATTTTTTTTCTGAAATAAGCTTATTAACTCCAATTATAATTGATCTACAACACAGGCCAACAAGATTTCAAAAAATTTTGAGGCACGGAAACTCAACCCTGATTCTTACAGAATTTTTCCCGTAGGATCAAAATCTGAAATTAGAAACGTTACATTTGCTCCAGTTTTTAAGATATTTTGACGTAAAAGTACCAAAATACAAATTTTTGGCATTTTTTAGACATCTATAAGGAATAACGGGGTCTGGTAGAATCTTTCGAATACGATGTAAAAAAGCTTGTAAAAAGCTACAAAAACAAGTTTAAAAATATATGCACAGCGAACACAGCTACAACATGAAAATTACTCTAAATTAATTTTAAGTAGAAATATGCGGACATTTTTTACTTTTTGCTTACCTGTGCATTTTAAAAGATTTTCAAAAATAATACTACCATAAAGTCTTCTTATCTTTCAGAACAAGCTTTAAGCTTTCTTTACATCTATTAAAAATATTCTATCATGTACTGTTTTTATATTATAACGGTTCAAAATATGCCAATAATTCGTTTTTTTTTACACCTTTTAGTCAAAATATCTCAAAAACTAGAGCCAATCTAAAATTTCTAAGGTCAGATTCTGATTCTTCCGCAAAAATCTATAGGAATCAGCTCATTCATTCACTCGAAATGCTGCCAGGGAAGAGTACGGAGCGACCATGTACATTAAAATCCACAGTTATATTCAGTCGAATTTTCACATTGCTTTTAATAAATTCAAAAAAATGTTACCGGATTCAAACGGTATCATTTTAGAAGTAATTTGCGTTTGTGTTTGAGTATACGGCAAACTCTTCTGGTAGGGAGGGTCCTGTGAGGGAAATACATTAAGTCGATTTCCCAATCATCATCTTAAGAAACTTTCTTACATTTTGTAGTATACGTTCATATGTTTGAATATACATACATACATACTATGATCGACCATGTTCCCATGTGCATGTGTAATAAGTGGGTCATGATAGAAAGAAAATTAGCAAAGTTTAGTCAAAATTTTCGTAAGTGCATAGTTAATAAGCAACAATTACAAATTTCGAATTAAGATGAATGCTTGCGATATATATACACTTAGGTCTCTTTTTACGCGGATTTGAATTTATTCGGGTTTTCAGGCCATTTTTCGCTGTAGCGATTTTGCTTTCTTGAGAGTTTTTATTATTTTTTAAGTGTGTAGGGGACAATGTTTCTGATAAATAATTTGTCTTTGTATTCTTACATAATTCATGTATTTACTGTTGTGTTTTTTTGATTTTTGGTTAAAATACAGATTTTATTTATTTCATTAATGTTCAGTTTTACATGAAGTAATAAGTGTTGAAGTGAAGAAATTCAATATTGCCTCATTGGATTTTTTTGCGGTTTTTTAGAATTTTTTTACATGGAGTGTCTGAATTTATGCGGTTTTCGAAATGCTAGAACGCATCCCCTTTTTTGTATAAAGTAAAGAACTTTTTCATGCGCCTTTCTGAGGAACGCATGTACCGCATAAAAAAAGACCTAATTTATGTATATGTATAAACAATCATCTTCATTAGCTTTGATATGCTTACGCTCATGCGTACACACACACATATGAATAAGTTATCAGTCTGGTTGGCAAAAAAAAAAAAAATGTTAGTACCCAGCTTGATGGAAAACTTACTTGGAGAGACTTTTATCGTGAATTAAAAAGTTTTTTGTTTTATATGGAAACCGACCCAGTCTAAATTATATGCATACATACATATCGTCGTTTAAAGTAAAAAACCGCGTAACTGCCATTTACTGCCAAAAGCTCTTGGCTCAATCGTTATCCATTCGTCCTGAAATATACTAGCCAGAAATGCGATTGCTTTATAAAAAAGAGAACCATTTTGAAAAATGAGTGTTTTTACTCTCTAGAAAATAATTTATGCAACATCACATCACATACGCGGTTTTGCATTTTGATGATACGCGGTTTTGTACTTTAAACGACGATATGTATGTATGTATATCAGCAAAAGCCTTGAAAAATAAGGCAACTGCAATTCTCATTCAAAAGTTGTATGGCCATTAATCCTGATAGGCAGGCTTAAGATCAAATCAAGTTGAGCAATATTACTCGGAAAACAGTGTCTCTCTCGCCTCTTATGCAAGAGGACCATTCATCAAAACTGTTCAACTTGTCTATTTCGATGTAGAATTGTTGAAAATATTTCTGTAAATCTTGTTCAGATATGAACTACCACTCAAAACTGTTGCTCCTACGCGTGAATGGTGCTTTAGTAAATCTCACAAAGAGGAATCCTTATTTGTCGCGTCTCTATTACTATCTTCGAAGTGGCCATCACTGTAATCAATGTCATCTAAAGCATCACTGTTCGTCGCATTATCCACATTGTCTCCACCTGTTGGAAAATGCATTAGATTGGTCTCCAGCATACCATTTAGGCTTAAAGGGGGCGAGTTGGATGAGGGTATACTGCCAACACTCATTTGATCGTCCGAAAAGTCGATGTTAATGATTGTATTTTCTTCACCAGTGAAATAGTTCTTGGTGCGACCTGAGAGGTCAAACCTGTTGGCGGGAGCATTGGTGCTGCTGATGGCCTCGCAATTGTGAGTATTTTTAGACGATTTGACTTCGGATTTGTTAGTTTCTTTGTGCTTTCGAAGCTCAACTTTGGTTTCTATTCCACTTACGCAATCCATTTTATCGATGGTGGCAACATTGTTCTCTCGAAATACAGCGGGTACAACGCTCAAGCCTAAAATGACATAAACATACAGACATATACATATATAAGTATTTCTCGCAAACTCCAACTGATATTGATATTATATTTTACATTAAATTTTTCGTTCAACAATTATTAGAAGATTTTAACCCTACAACTGTATTTTTTTTTTTTTTTTAACAAGACACGTTTAACGGGTTTTATGTAATTTTCTTATACATATATGCACGGTCAGTGCTTATAAAGGTAACAATGCAGTTTTAAAAAGTACCGATGTGTACACACATAGTAGATGGGTTGTTTATTGGCTGATTTCAGTACTAAGTAGATCGATTAATCGGCATCGGCATCGGCATCGGCGTCGGCATCGGCATCGGCGTCGGCCTTTTTTCGCCGATTATTTGGAATTTCTTTTCATATGTTCAGATGTAGCGACAGACAACAGCCAACATGAAAAAGCATTTGCAGGCAGTTCATAAAAATGAGTTTTTTTTGGTTGAAGGTGTTTCACGATTTTTCCATACAATAGTATTATCGACAATTTTCTTTTATATGAAAGACATTGCCAGCACAAAAAAATTGACAGAAATTAACGGGATTTTATAGCAGCTTGAAACTTGCACTTCATTATACTAGAATTAAATGGCCTACAAAACTGCATACCCAAATTATGATTAAAAAGTTTGAAAATTTGGTGAAAATAAGCAGAATGTTTCTAATTTTTGTACAAAGTTTGAAATCGGAATTTCTAAATTTCATTCTGGCTACGCCGATGCATATATTTTTACACATACATACATATGTATGTCGGTGTCCCTCAGGGTTCGATACTGCGACCACTCCTTGTCATGTATGATGGCGTCCTGCGCTTGCATGTTCCCGCGGAAGCGAAGATAATCGGGTTCGCACAGACGACGTTGCCGTAGTAGTTGTCGCCAAACATTTATCCGAGGTAGAACGATGTGCGGAAGTAACCGTTGCTGCCATCGTTGAGAAGAAAACAGAGCTTCTTCTAATAAGCAAACGAAAAATCAGAGAGCAGGCAGAAATAAGAGTTAAAGAATTCACTGTGCAGTCGAAACCCTCACTCTAGTACCTAGGCATCAAGTTCGACTCGAGGCTGAAATTTAAGGATCACTTGGACTACGTTTGCGAAAAGGCAGCGTCCACCCAAGGAGCACTCTCAGGACTTATGCTCAACACAAGAGGTCCAAGACATAACGTTGGGAAGTTGCTAGCTGGGTGTTCTCAAGTCCGTTATTCTCTACGGGTCGGAGGTTTGGGCAACTGCATGCGACACGCCGCTGTACATCAAGGGTATACGATCTACTAAGAGTCTGCTCGGCGTTCCGTACGGTGTCGGAAGATGCAGCGCTGGTCATCTCAGGCCTACATCCTATCAATCTGTTGGTCCAAGAAACGTCCATTTCAATCAGCAGCACAATGGAGCAGTGGCAACACCGATGGGATCACTCGAACAGCGGTCGCTGGACGCACAGGCTTATACCACATATAGAAAGCTGGCTGGCAAGAAAACATGGGGAAGTAGACTTTAATGTCACGCAACTTCTAAGTGGGCACGGCTGCTTTAAAGCGTACTTCTTCCGCTTCAAATTAGATGATGCCGAACATTGTGAAACCTGCGGCCAAAACAGAGTAGAAGATGCAGAACATGTTCTTTTTGCATGCCGAAAATCCAGGAGGAACGAGTCTTCCTTAACGTTGCACATGGAGTAAACGCGACGCCAGAGAACCTGATTCTGCACATAACCGAGTCGCCAGAGAAATGGAAATCATTCCGCACAGTCGCGGCAAACTTAATAGCACAGCTGAGACGACAAGAGCGTAATAGATCATGCCGAAGATAATCTAGCACGGTGGCAGGTAGGTTTTATGTACACTATACAGTAACTACGTACGTCGTCCATTTTTGGACAACTGACTTTACCTCTTAGAGGGGGGTGTGGGGGGACGCATTGACAGTGGTGGTGGTTGAAGAAACCAAAATGATGACTAACTGAGGGTAGGGCCAAGTACATGCAACTTGTGACTGACAATGAATAAAAAATGGACTTATAATACTTACATAAAAAATTTTAGTCGCACCAAATTTTGACAAGCTTTCACAAGAAAACATTTGGGCGTATTCTTGTTTTCGTACGAATCGAAAATATTGAAATTTTTCTATACAAAAATTTCAAATACGCCTCATTATAAATAAATTTAGAATTTAAAAATATTAAATTTTTTGGTTCACAATGACGAATTGATATTGAAAATACCCTTTAAAATATTATTTTTTTTTACGGTATTATAATTTTTTCAAAAATAAATACTGCAAATTTGCAAGGATACTCAAGAACAAAATTTTAAAAGGACATTTTCAATACCTATTCGTCCTTATGCACAAAAAAAGTTTATATTTTTCAACTCTACAGAATTTTTGATATCCATTTATTATTCTATATAGCACTGAATTTTTCGAACTAATCAAATCTTTGAAATTCCCAAGTCCTTTAAAAAATCCTGATGCCAGAGAAAGAAACTAAAAACGCAGTTTTACTATATTCTGCTCCTAGTTTTGGGAGTACATTTATGTATATATTATTTTGTGCAAAATTTACTTTTGCTCGGTGTATTCCATGCTATCAATAACTTGATTTTTTTTAGTGACTTATGCCACTTTCAAAATATACATTTTCGTTATACCGCCCAATAGTAAAACTTCCCTCGAACAAGACCGCAGTAGTTCTCAATTGGTGTTATCATACACTAGATTTTTTTGAAAATGTGACTTATGCCACTTTCAAAATAAACGGCTTATTTGTTGGGTGTTTTATTTTTCGTTCACCAAATAATTGTTATCTGATGAGTACAACTTTAGAGTTAAATAAAGTACACGGAAACGGAAGCAATGCTTGGAACACTGGTGTCGGAAACATCGATGAAAAGGAAGGCATAACGGACGTGACAAAAAAGAGGTGGTTTCAGAGTACATGTTAAAATAAGCAAAACTCTGTGAAACCTGTGAGGTTTTCCTTTCTTAAACATTCTTTAAATAAAGTCAAATTGCCAATTCCAACGAATTAATTTTTAGTCAGAAGGAATTCGTTGTTGGTTATATTTTGAATTAAAATGTGATAACGGACCTGACATATCGGACGTGATCGATTTTTCTCCTATATATTATTTTTACTAATAATACATAAGTAATTAAATTTTTTACCTAATTTTTTCAGTTCTTCTCTCCACCATTTTGCGTTTTCATAACCACTTTTCGCCGCTGTGGTGCAGTGCGCGCTTCCACTCCGCAATGCCTGGGTTCAAGCCCTAGTCAAAGCAACATCGCAAAAAAATATAGAAAAAGGTTTTTTCTTAACAGCGGTCGTCCCTCGGCAGGCAATGGCAGACCTCCGAGTGTATTTCTGCCATGAAAAACAGCTTCTCATAAAAGGAAAAATCCTGTAGAATTTAAATTTTAATTTTTTGTTTCACCAGGACGAATAAATGTTTAAAATGTCCTTTTAAGACTTCATCCTTGAATATCCTGGGAAATTTCCAATATTAATTTTTGAAAAAAATATATGTCAAGGACTAATATGTAAACTATCACATCCTCGAATTTCGTCCTTCTAACTTGATTAGTTTTAGATAAAAAAAATGTTCACTTCTCTTTATAAGATATTGATAGTTACAACATACTTAAATGAAGATACTAGAATCATTACACTGTACAGCACTCCGATGCGTATTGGACCAAACCAATTTTTTTTTTAAGAGATTGAGTCATAGGTAAAAAGTAATTTCTCCGTTTTTCGAAGTTAGCCTCCGAAATCGAGATATGGGCCTTCGAAGTTCGAAATAAGATCTTTGGTAAAAAATTATTTTTTATTATTATACATATGTAAATAATTAAAAAAACTAAAAAAAAATCGTAGACCGCCTTTTGCTCTTATTTAAATGGTTTATAACTTTTTTTTTTTGCAAACTTATATTACAGGTGCTATAAGGGGGCAAAGGTCGGATCTTCAAAAAATTAAAAACCTTATATTTCAAACAATTTTTAACTGGTTTTTAAAAAGTTGGTATTTTTTTAAACGTGATTGCACCCCCTTCTCCTCTTCTGTTATGCATATTTGTATACTTTGTATGTAAAAATTTGAGAAAAAACACTTAAAAGGAAAGAATACATTTTTTTATAAAATAATAAAAAAAATAAAAAAAAAATTTGAGAAGAAACACTTGAAAGCAAAAAATACCCCTTTTTATAAAGAAAAATATTAAAAAAAAAAAATTACTAACCGATTTTTAAAAAATTGGTATCATTGTAAAGGCTACCAGAAAACTTACACTTTCTTAAACACAAAAATTTCGTTGTATATAATAATAATATATATTTAAAACATTTTTTCCCTCTATATAAACTCTTGCCCCCCTAGATGAAAGGCTGGCTACGCCCTTGTACACAAAATAAATCAAGTATTTAAATCGTAGGTATATCCTACGGTCAGTTTGTTCTTTTATGATTCAAATATCTTTATTTATGTATATTGTAACTATCAATATCTTATTAAGAGAAGTGTAAAATTTTTTTATCTAAAACTAATTAGTCCTTGACATATATTTTTTTCAAAAATAAATATTGGAAGTTTCCAAGGATATTCAAGGATAAAGTTTTAAAAGGACATTTTCAATACTTATTCGTCCTGGTGCACCCAAAAATCAACTTTTTTTTTCTATTCTACAGAATTTTTCCTTTTAATTGATACCCATATTGTTATTGTACAATGCACCGAATCTTTAGAATATTTTTTTTTATTCAATCTTATTCTAAATATTTCAGTCTCTTTAAAAAAAAAATCCTGACGTCAGAGCGAAACACTAAAAACGCAGTTTTACTATATTTGGCCCCAGTTTTGTGAATATATTGATTTTTTCGTGTGTTAAATTGACTGTCGCACGGTGTAATCCCATGGCCCAAAACTATACAGAATTCCCAAAACTATACAGGATTCCCAACATCGCGGTACAAACACTTCGCGGTGGCGAACGCGAGTGTTAGCTCAACCAGCCACCGGCGGAGCGCCCTGCAATTGCTGTTGATAGAGAGTGAGAAGCAACGACAACGTCACCGTCAAGAATGATAGAATACAAGATTGCGCCAATCGAGCTGAGAGCAACTGGGTGTGACTTCACATTATTTTTAGAATGAGAGTGTAAAGAATAATTTTGAAGAAGATGAAGAAGCGAACAAGTGGTGCGAAATAGTGATGTTAAACTATGTGGAATCGTCACCGTCATGCGTACGATGTAGCGAAACAAAGGTGGTGCCTTCCGCGGACCGTTAATCCTCTCTTTCTCGGTTTGACAGCATCCATCCTTTCGCTGACGTCACATTATTATTTTTGAGCACTAGTGATGAATATTAAATATTCATATTGTACCTATTTGACGAAAAGTTGTACCGAAAAGTAGATACACGTACCTAAACAGTAAACATGTACTTTTATGTGCATATATTTTTGTCACTTGGTGGACTACATCTTCCATCTGTACCATAAAAACTTTTTGGCTTACATGAAACAATATTTTACTACGTTCCAAATGTACCTAAAATAACGTGATTGTACCGAATGTACGTTCAAATTTAAGAAGCTGAAGAGTAGGTACAATTCTTCCTAGTTTTACATCACTATTTCGCACAACTTGTTCGCTTCCTCCTCTTCTTCTTCAAAATTATTCTTTACACTCTCATTCTAAAAATAATGTGGCATCACAACCAGTTGCTCTCAGCTCGATTGGCGCAATCTTGTATTCTACCATTCTTGCGTCATTCGGTGGTGCGTTAACGTTAACACGAGAATCCCATAAGATATGTAATTCGTGTCACGGTGTACGGTTTTACGTCGGTAGCTGGTTGAGCTATGTTTTAGAAAGCCTTAACAGTACTCAGAAGAAACCTCACCTACGCGGTTTTGCATTTTGTTGATACGCGGTTTTGTACTTTAAACGACGATATATATAAGTGCATACAATTTTAAAACGAAAGTGACTTCTAATGCGAAACGGGTGCCGTTTATCGTATTCTGTCTCCCTGTGATAGAAAAACAAAGATGTTACGTAATTCTTAACAGCATGCAACATTTGATGCTTTACATATCGTCGCTACCATGTCAAACTATCGAATATGAAAATGGGTACTTTTCACGATAGCAAAAAAAAACGGTTGTAAAAATTGTTGTGGGATTCGACACTTTGTTAAAGCCAGTATCCTCTGCTTCTAAGAAGACTCGAAATTTGACGATTTGGCAACTTGCCAAACACTCTAGACGCATGCGCAATTGAAAAAGCATTTTTGAACATTCGTAGTTTGACATGTAGCGACGATATACACAAGTTTATGAAACTTAACAGTTGGGGCATGGGAAAACAGTTGAAACTAATTTTCGGTACTTCACTTACAAAAGAATTCGCAATATGAAGAACTTGGAGCATTTTTTACGTTCTTTGGCAAATTACGCTCTGTCAGCCATAACTTTTACCTTGAAATCAAGACGCCTACACATGGGCGTAGCCAGGTAGGGGCAGGGGGGTGCTCGAGCCCCCCCTAACTTTCAAATTTTCCTTATATATAAATAAAATAGTACCCTGAAATGCCAGCTTAATAGGGTCGAGCCCCCCCCTAAATTTTATTCTGGCTACGCCGATGCGCCTACACCATTTTAGGAATCAATTTATATTTTAAATTGCATTGTCATCGTGATTGTAACCATGCTCAAAGTTTCAAGCCTCTAGATCGATTAGAAATTTCCGCGGGATGAGCAAGTTAAATAAAAGCGTGTAATATAAACATAAGGTGTAATATAGTACTCGTAGTATCTGTATACATATGTATGTGTGAAATAAGTAATCTTTGCCAACTTTGTTCTTTAAAAGCGAACCACCGTCATACAACGGTTTCCGATTACTGTTCTATACCACAATTATCAAAAAAGGGTACGGCGGTTTGCAACGTGAAACGTGAAAAAAGACGGAGTTGGTTATTAACTTAAACCTTTATTTTATATGATTTAATAAAGCCA